CCTTATTGGAGATGTGCCCACAACCAAGGCACATGCCCTTGACCAGAATCAAACCTGAAACCCTTGAGTCTGCAGGCCGACACTTTATCCACTGAGCCAAACCAGTTAGGGCGGAAGCTTCCTTGATAGTGATATGAATTTGTATAATAAACCCTTCTCATGTATCTCTAGTTTGTCTCTCAACAGAATTATTTCTTCTTTTTGGGTTTGATGAATGGATCAAATGACCTTCGTGGGTAGTTGATTCACCTTTGCAGACATGTCTTCCCACCTGTGGTCTGTTCATCTTCTCCTTGTCTTGTTTATGTGGTTCTGTTTTTATATCTTACTTGTCATTTCAATTAATAGAACTTTAATCACCTGGAGTATATCATCCCCTTGGTGTGTATATTTTGTTCTTTTTAGCGAAGATTCTCATACTGGTAGAATGGCCTCTCCAAGAACAGGACATGGCCTGAGTAGATAGTCCATGTAACTCCTTGGTCAGAAGTATTAGTTCTCAATCTATGCACCTGCAAAAAATACTTTGAAGCATTTTCTTTGTAGGTAGTATTTTATATTTTCTCCTATTCAATTACAGCTGTTCCTTTTATGCCTGGGTATGCACTAAGTGGCCAGATTATTATGATCTCTGAATGCATAATAATCTGGCCACTCAGTGTATATCCTATGTAATAAAAGGCTAATATGCAAATTGTCCCCTTGACCAGGAGTTCAACCAGCAGGCAGGCCAGCCAACCGCCCATGAACCCTCCCCCAGGCCAGGCTGGCGGACCCCACCCATGCACGAATTCATGCACTGGGCCTCCAAAATACATATACATATACATATACATATACATATACACACACACACACTTTGAGTGGCCAGATTATTATGCATTCAGAGATCATAATAACTGGCCACTCAGCGTATACTGTCTTTACAAAGGTCCTCCTCAGCTTACCCTATGGCTGAAGGTTTATTGTCTGAAAGGCCCACTTCTTTCAGGTGGTACATTCCCTGTGTTCAGTCCTCCAATTCACTTAGGTGAGGGGTAGTATCAGTCCCCTCACCAAAGCCTAAAAAGCCTGCACAACATTTCAGAAGAGCCTATGCAGTATCTGCCACCTGAAGGCCTGATCAGCACAGCAACATGAGTAAGCACAGGCACAGTCCATAGGAGAGCCCAGGAGCTTTGAGAGTAAAAAGGTTTTCTTATTCCTCACAGCTGATGCCAGGCTGTTTGTGGTCCTATATTTACTCCTTTGTGACACAGCTCCCCACAAAAAGATTACTGTGACTTCAGGTGCTGCTTCAGACCACGCTATATCACCTTGCTAAAATCAAAACATTTTGAATTCCCAAAACATCTGTCTGTGAGGTTTTGGGGTAAGGGATTAAGACCTGTATTGTTACCCATTTTACAGATGCAAGATCCAGGTGTGAGGAGATTGTGACAGTGTCAAGGTGGTGCCTAAGTCTCTGTTCTGGTGCATGTGTTCATATGCCAAGTCTGCTTCTCCTCACAGCAGCGCCATGTGGTGACCATGTCCTTATCTTCCATTGCTATGGGAGCTGCCCTATTGGAAACAAGTTCTTACATGAGTAATATATAGGCTTTTTTTTTTTTTTTTTTTTTTTTTTTAAGGAAAATAAAAACCTGCTCAAAGAAGCAAAAACAACTTATGCTACCATTGCTTAGAGATAATTGTATTTTGGCACACTGTCTCTGAGGTATTTTTCCATTAAAATAGTGATTGCTGATTAAGTGCGCACTGTTCATGTTTTGTATAAGGCACGTGAGCTCTCTGAATGCAGCCCTGTTCTTCGGAAACCATAGCTCAATATGGAGCGATGTGTCCACAGCTGTGCCATCAGAATTTGAACTCAGGCCTTTCATCCAGTCATACGTATTTTATAAAGGCATTGAAATTAGTGTTCCCTGTGCACATTGACCTTGAGAAAGTGCTGATGGAGGTTTGCCAAGGAGCCATAGAAGTACCTTAGATTTGTAAACTGTAGAGGGCTTTGCACATTCCCCCAAGTTAGATATCTGTACCATTTTAGCCATTGGGGTGATGTTTGCTGAGAACTTCACAGGCACTGTCCCTCTCATTGAACCACCAGTTTGCTTCTGGTTGGACCACTAAGACCTCTCCTTTGTCCTCTGCTATCTGCTGCCTCTGCTCTAGGTCACATGATCAGGAGACCTGAAGTAATTCCCAGGCATTACTTGATGTAGCAGCCCTCAAACAACTGAACATTGTGAGTTTGTCTGTAGAGATCCCTTTCTTGAGTTGTATTTACATGAAACTCTTTAAGATTTAAGAACTCGTTTTAACCTATCACTTGAAAAAGTAGTGTGTTAAATGAATGGTTGGTTGAAAATTCAGGATATTATATTGCTGAGTGATTTATTGATTGTTTTTTTGTTTTTTAGTTAAAGTAGAGACCATAAACGCAGCAAACCAGTGTGTACAGCCCTTTGTTTATCCTGGCAGTATGGGGATTAAATGGCAGTGTTCTCTGTTCATTGGTTTGACATTATGTTGTGTGCTTTACTATGCATTTCTAGGTCTGTTTACTGATAGTTTTTAGAAGCTGCATATACTCTTTATGGTTCATGTGACTTAAGTTGGGTAGGTGGTGGTTCTTTTTACGCTTGCAAACTTTGAAAGTAATGCCTTTCCAGAAACACATATCTCTCTAAATCTGATCTAGTATAATACTGTGATCCTGACTTTGAAAAACTATTATTCTATACTCATTATTTCACTTCCATGCATTAATTTCTAGCTGAAGCAGGGAGATTTGAATGGGTCCTAACCTATCAAAATAGCTTTGTATTTTTTATGAGAATGGAGAGAATTTGCTTAAAACTTAAATTTGAGTTCATGGGAAATACTACATTAAGGCTTTAGAATAGTAATCATTACTATTAGAAAATAAGAAGCAACTATTAAGACATCATTCTGGAGTTAGAGAAGATGGGGAGATGTTCAGAGGGCACAAATTTTCAATTACTATATAAGGTGAATTCTAGGAACCTTAAAAAAGCGAAAGTGAATTCATTTAATCTTTCAAAAAATCATTCTGTTGGCTCTCTTATGGGATATAACAGGTGGCTGTTCTTTTTGTTACAAGATTCTTTTTAATAACTCAGATTTCCAAGGCAGAAATTATATATCTATTATTAAGCTTTAAAAACAGTCATCATAGCCCTGGCCAGTTTGGCTCTGTGGATAGAGCATCAGCCTGCAATGGAAGTGTCCTGGTTTAGTTCTGGTCAAGGGCACATGCCTGGGTTGTGGGCTCGATCCCCAGTTGGGGGCATGAGAGAGGCAGCCAGTCAATGAGTCTCTTATCATTGACATTTCTCTCTCTTTTTTCCCCTCTCCCTTCCTCTCTAAAATCAATAAAAATATATATTTTTAAATAGTCCATAAATCTAGGGTTTGACTTTAGTATTTTCTGCATTCAACAAATACTTTCCATTTAATATGAGCCCAGCACTGTGCTTGGACCAGCAGCACATAGTAAGCAGACAGACACAGTCCTGAGTGGTGTAGCCTCCAGCTCCGTTGGGCAGGCCAAGGTGGTGGTGACCAGTGGGGACCCATTGTGAAAGGAGATGGGCTCCTTGAGGAAGGGGACTCAAGCTGCAATCTGAAAGTAATGTGTGTTCAGAGAGGAGGGAAGCCTTGGCCAGTGTTCTCAGTGGTAAGAGCTTTAGCATGTTCACCCTTGGGTTTTAGGTTTGATTCCCAGTCAGGGGCATGTAAGTAGATTGGTTGCAGATTGGATCCCCAGCTCCAGTCAGGGTGCATGCAGGAGGCAACAATCGATGTGTTCTTCTCACATTGATTTTTCTCTCTTTCTTCCTCCCTGCCTCCCACTCTCTAAAAATCAACGTGAAAAAAATCCTTGGATGAAGATTAACAAACAAACAAAACAAAGAAAAAGAGGAGGGAAGAATATTGTCTGCTTGGGTTTTAAAAGATCACTGTGTATTTGGGAGATGTTTGGGAGACATGTGGGGAATACCAGTTAGGGAGTGCTTCCCCTCACCAGGTGAGACTGGGGCATAATCTGGAAGATGGTGGTGCTATAGGAGATGGGGTGAGTGACTTCTAAAACTCAACCCCTTGGATTGATTACACTAGGGCCCTCTCAGATAGGCTGGGATATAGGGTATTGAAGAGTTTCATCCTGGCCAGACCAGCAGAGATTCCAGCAGGGCAACTGGATACCTACTGGGGCTGGGGGTGACCCTGAGGGTTGGGGGTGGTCTCATCTGAGAGGCACAAGTGAGCAGGATTCTGTAAGTGACCAAGGGAAGTAGGTGGAAGTCTGTGCAGGTAGGTCAGTGGTGACAGACCCGTCGGTAGTGGGGGCTGTGGAGGGCACAGAGCAGTGGTCCAGGTTGTTCTTTAGGGTTTGGGGTTACGCTTCCATGTTATTCTAAAGTTTGAAAACCAAGATTAGGAACTCTGGACTAAGAAAAGAGAAGGGCCTAGATCTGAGATGAAAGGTGGGTTCACAAAACGGGTTAGGTGGCATTGCCAACCTGAGTCACCTAACTTCCCTCCTCCCCACCCCCCAAAATTTTAGATTAGAGAAAGTTAGTATTGAATTTTAAGGACATACAATGTTTTGTTCTAAATGTACAAAATATTAAAAATCTGAAATGTAGCCATATCCTGCCTGGAATTGGTAATTAAGAGAAATATAATAAAACCCAGGTTTGGCCCATGGGTTACATGCTTCTGTCTTTACTTAGTGTTCTTTCATGGAATTCTTCAGCCTTATAGGTAAGCTTTGAGATTTCCCATTGTGTGTGAGGATTCTGAGGTTTGGAAGATGAGTATGAATGAATTGGTGAGTGGCCCAGACATGGGTCTTATGACAGTATCCTTTCTGGTTTGGTGAAAACCATGCCTGCTGTTAGATACCCCTCCTGCCTCTTCCCTCTTGTTAAAATGATTCCCTCTGCAAGTCACATTGTCCTCTGTTTCAGGATGATGATCTGGAAGAGGGCGAAGTAAAGGACCCCAGTGACAGGAAGGTGAGGCCTCGTCCCACCTGCCGATTCTTCATGAAAGGTAATTGTCAGAGTAAGGGGCCTTTGCATGGCCCATTTGTGTGGCCTCAGCTTTATCTAGGACTGTAGTGATGGTTCAGCCTTGTTGAGTGCCCTTGAGCCTGTGTTTGGCTATTCCTAGGGCCAGAGTATGACAGTTTGGTGGCAGTAGTGGTGGTAGTATTGATGTGAAACAATCGATTCTTTTATTTGTCCTTTAATCACTTGAATGACTAACTTAGAGGGGAGCCAGCCTAGTTATTTTTACACTTGTGATTCTAAACCCAGTTGTTTATAACAGACCCATGACTTCAATGTAGACAGTATCAATCATTTTTCTAAGAGGTTCTTTTTATAAGGCCAAGCCGTAAGTACCAGTTTTGACATTTTCCCACCTCTGTAAGGAAAATTACCATTCTTCCGCAGGATGTATTAGAAGTACATACTTCATTTGAAATGGATTTCTAAATAGCAAAGGGATGGCCCCTGAAAGCAGCAAGGCTCTCTCTTCTGACAAGTAAATGATGTGACTCAAGAAGCAGTAACAGGTGGCAATATGATAAAATCTTGTTGAAAAGTCTGGACTAAAGTCTTGGGAGTTTGGGAAATGGAAATGAGACTTTCCATTCTTAACGTTTCTTTGATATGCAGCAGTAGTTTGGGTATGTTTTGTAATTTAGCATTTTCCTTGGATAGGTAGGAAGATGCTTTTCTCTTAATTTTACTCTGACCCTTGACTTTGCTCACTGACCCAGCCTGCATGTGCCATCTAAAGTTCACAAGAGCTTCCTGTACTTCTTTTCCAGATGTTGTGACACCATTATCCACTCTTCTTCCACCAATATCAAATTCCATACCATTCAGAGACCAGGTTAAAGGTACAAAATATATAATATTCACTCTCTTCAGTCCCTCAAAGTCCCCCTGCTCCAGAGGCCAGACTGCTTTCTCTTGGACCCAAAGTACTACTGTGAAGCGAAAAGGAAGGGGAGGCTTGCAGGGGCAGAGAGCTGTTGTGAGCCTTAATAATGAAAGGCATCGATGAAGCTCGAGGGAGCTGTGTGCTGACCGCACAGGGAGGGTGGGATTGCAGGGGCACAGTAGAGTCCCATCTCATGGAGAGGCAGCTCTGCACTTCCCGTGGCCCTTGAGCGACCCCATCCTATCCCTAACAATGAGGGATGACCTGGTGATGGGGATGCATGGAAGCTGAGGGACCGGCGCACTCAGAACCCAGGTTACCTTGCACCTCAGGGAATGTGCACTTGGCCTGTACTATTTACATGTTTATTGTTTCTGCCAAGCAAAAAACAGTTTGATTTGTCCATATGTGATGGGCTCTACCATGCCCAAGGGGAGACAGCCAACACAGCCATGTACTGTAGAGCAGACGTTATATCATGAGCAGCAGAGCCACCCTAAGATAAAGTATATGAAGTGCAATACATTTTAGAAAGTATATGAAGTATCTATTTCAGAAAACAAACTTAAGCAGAATACCACCTTTCCATAATGATTTGAGAAAAAAATGTCACTATATATCTCTGAAATTGCTAGATTAAAACAGTGGAGCAAATTTGTACACATAACATAAATACAGTTGCAGTCATTTCTAATTAGCACTGTTCACAAGTGAGGGTCAGAAGCCTGGCCAACTGGTTAGAACTAGCCAGAGGCTCCCACAGCGGGGTCAGCAGTATCCACCATTCATGCCACAGAGACTGGTGCTGGGGTCACAAACTGGAGCAGTTTCCAGAACTTAGTGAGAAAAGCGTGCATACAAATGAAGTTGTTGCTGGAACTGCAGATCAGCATCATGAGGAGATTCCCGATGGACAAGGACGGGACACCACTCCATGGATGCCACAGGTCACCTCAGAATAGGAGTGGGGTTCCTCCAGGGTCAGACTGAGTGCTCAGTTTGAATTTCAAGGAATGAGACCAGTGGTAAGGCTTTCTACAGTAGAAAAATATGAAGCTAGTGGCAAGCAGCCTTTTTACAGCTTAGTTGAGCATGATCAATAACTTGTACAGAAATATTTTTTAAAATATATTTACCTTCCTATACTATTTGTTTATTCTACGGAGAATTCTAAGGAAATGGTTGATTTATTTACTTATTTATTTACTTTTTTAGTGTTCTAGAAAAGCTCCTGCTTTTTCTTATAAAAAAGTTTTGGGATGTAAATGATTTTACTTACCTGCAATTTACAAGTGTGGTGTTACATTGAGCTGGATATGTTCCTTCCAATAGTAGAAGTCGTTTTAAAAATGAAGTTAGTTGTGTTTGGTGAGGATGCATAAAAATGGAACCCTCATACACTACTGGTGGGAACATAAAATGTTAGCTCCTCAGAAAGTGAAGAATAGAGCTACTGTATGACCCAACAATTCCATTCTGGATATCCATTTAGGAGAAATGAAAACATATCCACACAAAAACTTGTACATGAACATAACAGCATTATTCATAACTAGAAGCCCAATGCACAAAGATTCGTGCTAGAATGGGCCTTCCTTTCCCTGGCTCCTGGCATCGCCTTTCCACTCTGGCCCAGCCCAGGAGCCACCTCTTTCTGCTCGGACCCGCCTTCCCACGCTGCTCAGAGGCCCTTAGAGACCAGAGGTGGGGTGGAACACCTGCATTGTCACCATGGCGATGACACAAGCATTCTGTCCTCCCCAAATGCCTGCATATGCAAATTAACCTCCATCTTTGGTTAATTTGCATATCACTTCTGATTGGCTGGTGGACATAGCGGGGGTATGGTCAATTTACATGTTTGTCTATTATTAGGTAAGATAGCCACAAGGTGGAAACTACCCAAATGTCCATCCATTAATGATGAGTAAGTAAAATTTGGTTTACCCATACAATGGAATATTATTCAGCCATAAAAAGGAATACAATACAACAAGGGTAAACATTTGTTTCAAATGAAAGAAAGAAACCAGACACAAAAGACTGCATATTGTACATTTTTACCTATGTGAATTGTCCAGAATAAGAAACAGAAAGTAGATTAGTCATTAGTATGGGCCACGGGGTGGGAACAGTGAGGGGGTAATGTATAATGAGTACAGGGCTTCCTTTTGGAGTGATGAGATATTCTGGAATTAGTGCACAACTTCAAATATACTAAAACTCACCAACTATATACTTTGTTTTGTTTTCTATTTTTTCTGACTATATACTTTGGTAATATTTTGTGGTATATGAATTATATCTTAATGCGGGGGGGGGGGGTGTCTTTTAAGTTTGTTAACTGTGTTTCTGTTACAAGTTGTGATCTTCACATTCGTCATTGAACTGCCCAAATGGACACTTTAATATTTGTGACCATTGAAAACAAAATGTATTTAGGAAAACAAACTGAAACATTTTAAATCACGAATATTTTGTTTAGGGTATTTTTTTCCCCACATATTTATGTTGAATCATCCATACACTGAGTTCTAGTCACAAAGGCATAAATAGCATTTTCTTTAAACTGTGCCTCCTTTGGATTTCTGATTTCCCCAGCTGTCAGTAGGGCCTACCCTATTGTATGAGCCAGACCTCCTTGTCTCAGCTGCTTCCTGTTCTCTCTCTTTTTTTTTTTTTTTTAAATGGTGGTAAAATATTCATAATATAAAATTTACCACCTCCACTTTTTTGTTGTTAATCCTTACTGGAGGATATTTTTCCATTGATTTTTCTTTTTTCTTTCTTTTGAGGGTCCATTGATCTTTTAGAGAAAGTGGGAGAGGGAAAGACAGAGAGAAACATCGATGTGAGAGAAAGACATCAATTGTTTGCCTACAGCACATACACTGACCAGGGCCTGGGCTGGGAAGGAGCCTGTAACCAGGGTATGTGCCCTTGACCACTATTGAACATGGGATCCTTTGGTCCACCAACTGACACTCTTTCCACTGAGCCAAACCAGTTAGGGCTCAATCATTTTTAAGTGTACTCAATTCAGTGACTTGGAGTACATTCATATTGTGGCCATCGCCACTATCCATCTCCAGAACTCTTTTTTTTTTTTTTTTTTTAATATATATTTTATTGATTTTTCACAGAGAGGAAGGGAGAGAGATAGAGAAACATCGATGAGAGAAATACACCGACCAGCTGCCTCCTGCACACTCCCCATCGGAGATGTGCCTGCAACCAATGTACATGCCCTTGACCGGAATCGAACTTGGGACCTTTCAGTCCACAGACCAACGCTCTATCCACTGAGCCAAACCGGTTTCGGCCATCTCTAGAACTCTTAATCTTATAAAACTAAAATTCTGCCCCTATTAAACATTAACTCATTCTTCCCTTCCCTCAGTCACTGGTAACCATCATTCTACTTTGGTTTTTACCATATGAGTTTGACTATTCTAGGTGCTAATGTAAGTTGAATTATACAATATTTGTCTATTTGTGACTGTCTTCATTTAGTATAATGTCCTCAAGGTTTATCCATGTTATCGCATGTGTCACAATTTCCTTTTTAAGGCTGAATGTGTATGTATAAATTACATTTTGTTTATCCAATGTGAATATAGACTACATTTTGTTCATTCATCTTTTGATGGATACTTGAATTGCTGCAATCTTTCAGCTATTATGAATAATACTGCTGTGAACATAGGGGCACAAATATATTTTTTAAGACTCTGATCTCGCATCTTTTGAGTATATACACACAGATTGCTGGATCATTTTGGTAGTTCTGTTTTTAATTTTTTGAGGACCTGCAATACTATTTTCTAAGGCAGCTGTACCATTTTACATTCTCAACAGTACACAAGGGTTCCAGTTTCTCACATCCTCACCAATATTTGTTAATTTCTGATTTATTTTATACTAACCATGCTAATGGATATGAAGATGGTATCTCCTCACATTGTAGTTTTTATTTGAATTTCCCTATTATTAAGTCTGTATTTATAGTCAGGTATAAATGACTATTCACTCACAGTTAAATAATGCCAACTGTACTTAATGATGTCTGTGATAGGGCAGTAAAAATTGTAATTGTTTTATACCTGAGTGCAGGTTTTTTGTTTTTGTTTTAAAGATATTTTAACAAGGTATAATTTCAAGTGCACAATTCAGTGGTTTTTAAATTAAATATACCAAGTTGTGCAGCCATCACCACAATCCAGATATAGAATATTTCATCATCCCAATAAGAGCCCTCAGTATATGTCTTTGTTATGTTCAGTATGACGAAGTTGGAAGTGCGCGTGGAGCCCCCTCTGCTGCGCTCTGAAGTGCAAAGGTCATCTCCAGTGAGGGCACGTTCGAGGTTTGCACTGTGAGCTGAGCCAGGTGCTCTTCCCATGGAGTGTGTGTTCACTTGCAGGAAGGACCACAACATACAAAGGTGGTGCAGAACCAAGGCTTCTCAAAGACTCTCCAATGAGACTGCTGCTTCAAGGAGAACAGCTGACAATGTCTATTCTAATGATAAAATTCAAGCCCTCAAGTAAAAATTAGAATTGTGGAGAGCCAAAACTCCCCTGTGAGTTTGACAGCTTTTTCATTTTTAATGAACTTTTCCAGACATCCAGTGGGTGTCACAAAATTATACCTAGGTAGAAGATCCATTCACAGTTCAAGATAGACTAGTGGCCTGCAGTGAAACACGGTTATAAAAGTTCAGTGATAAGGTTACAGATCCCATATTGTGGCTAACTGAAGAAGCATTCATTTGTTGAGTTTGGTGTAGCATCAAAGGACATCTAAGAGTACATGAAAAAGCTATTAAAATGCTCCTTCCTTGTCCAGCTACATCTCTGCCTATGGCTGGATTTTCAATCAGACCAACCGGATACAGCAAATTGAATGTAAAAGCAGACACGAGAACCCAGCTATCTTCTATTCTGTGTCAACATTAAAGAGATTTTTCAAAAAGGAAAATAATGCTACTCATATTACTAAGTATTTTCTGTTCTTCATAAAACATCCTATATAATAAAAGTCTAATATACAAATTGACTGAATGGCAGAACAGATTGCTATGATGTGCACTGACCACCAGGGGGCAGGTGTTCAACTCAGGAGTTGCCCCTTACCACAGGGGGAGCACATTACCACAGGGAGAGCACCACTCAGCCAAAAGCTGAGCTCGTGGAAGCAGTCCAGAAACTTTTAATTTTTTTTTAGCTACCATAATGAATTTCTTAAAGAAGTTAAAATATCTCAGAATACTGCTGGATGTGACTGTTGCTATCTACCCATTTCTGACAGTTCTCTGTGACATGGGTAAGGAAAGGATATAGGAGTTCTTGGTGGTATATTATTGCAATCTTTTATGCAATTGTTCTTTGGATTTATGCCTGTTAGAATATGCATTTGTAGAGCTTGGGTGTGTTCTTAATATTTAATTATTAGACTTAAGCATTTTAAACTGCTTTAATTTATTTTCACAATCTGATTATTTTCAATTCTGAGTTATTTAGACTAATAGGAAACTGGAGTGAGAAATATTTAAATAAGACCACTATGTCTTACAGATACTATAAAATTATTTCAACTGTTCTAGTAGGATATATGCATATACAGCGACAGCACAGCCCAAAACGGTAATCAGTACTGCACTGTGCTGATCAGTGGACCCAGCAATCAGTAATTTTAAAATCTGGCAGTGTTTCTGGACCTTCCATGCACACATGCTCAAACATATGCTCATAGACACAGCGTGCTTGCTGCTTCTGACATTTCACACCATGGGAGACATGAAATTCCTTGGGCTAGTGTAGTTTATGTGTTGTGACCAATGATTTGCTGGCACGGGAGATATGGAATTCATTTCCTGTCCTGTGTCAAGCTAGTTTCCTGGATTTCTACTGCGGCCTATTAGGTTTCCTGCATATATCGTCTGTTTCACTGATAAGAGTTCGGCTTTATTGCTGTTGAGCCTGCAGGTTCCTTCTTTTGTAGATATATAGTAAAGAAAAGAAAAGAAAGAAAAGCAGGGTTCAACACAAAATGTATAATATAACCAGAAGAAAATAGGGATGGCTATAGTGATTTGACTTATTTGATTGATTATTTCCTCAAAAATTGATAATTGCCTTTATAGAGGGCCCTGAAGGCCTAGAGACTTCATTGAATACCTTTTAAGAGAAATTTTTTGTTTAAATGAATTCCTTTTATTTCATTTACAGGCATAGAAAATAATAAATGAGTAAAACAATTACTGATGAGCCCACCATCCAGTTAAGAAATAGAACACTATCAATGAAGAACTAAGTTATATGGAAAAAATAGACTTATTCTGTGTTGCGCTAGTTAAATTAAACTAGACCCATAAATGAAAGTAAAAAAATAAAAAATAAAATAAATAGAACACTATCAATTCCTTTGAAACCCTATGTGTGCCAAAATGAAGGAAACTTGTCGCCCTAGCTGGTTTGGCTTTGCGGAATAGAGCGTCGGCCTGTGGACTAAAGGGTCCTAGGTTTGATTTCGGCCAAGGGCACATGCCTGGGTTGCAGTTTCATCCTCCTCTCCCCAGTAGGAGGCTTGCAGGAGTCAGCCAATCAGTAATTCTCATCATTGATGTTTCTATCTCTATCTCTCTCCCTTTCTCTTTGAAATCAGTGAAAAAATATATATATATTTTTAAAAAGAAACTTGTCCCACTGAACTGCCTGCTACAGCTGTTTCCATTTCTTCTATTCTCTTCCGGCTCATATTTATATCCTTATATAATTGAGAGCCTATTTATTCATCAAGTCAGAATCATAATCCACATAATTTCTGTGTTTGTGAAGTTTCATTCAGAAGCAAACCACTATATGATTTTATAACCAGAAGATTGAATTTTGCTTCCATTTCTCAAAGAATTCTTTTCCCCAATAGCTTTTTAAAATTACAAATGTAATATATGCTAATGAGAGTCAAGACAATCTATAATAATAAAAGCTAATTAGACCAGACATCCTCCCAGATGTCCTTCCAGATGTCTTTCCAAATGACCTGCTGGATGAAGATGTGGCAGTGGGGACCGAGGCAGAGGTGTTCACCATGGGGGGTTGAAGCCAAGGCAGAGGCAGCCACCGTGGTGGTGAGGGCCAAGACCCTTGCATGAATTTCATGCATCGGGCCTCTAGTCCTATATAATAAAAGCATAATATGCTAATTAGATGGGAGGTCCTTCTAGACAGGACTACCGTTCCGATAAAGTGGGAGCTGCAAGGGCCAAGGAAGAGGGGGGCGGGGGCTGAGGCAGTGGCAGAAGCAGCTGTGGTGGCCCTAGGGGCCAAGCGCCTTGCACAAATTTTGTGCATCAGGCCTCTAGTAAAATAAAAATCTCCTTTCACAGTGCTAATATCCTGTTTCCCCGAAAATAAGACAGTGTCTTATATTATTTTTTTCTCTCAAAGTTGGCTAGGTCTTATTTTCAGGGGATGTCTTATATTTCCATGCGCTAGGTCTTATTTTCGGAGGCTGTCTTATTTTCGGGGAAACAAGGTAGTTTGGGATGTATATTTCCCAACATTTTTCTACACAAATAAAATTTTACTTTAAAAGGGCTAATAAGGGTGCACTATTCCAACTGCTTTCTTTTTGGCTTTGCTTTGGTGGCCAGGGATCCAGATATATATTCAGCAAGGATCTTAGCATACCCAAGGAACACGGGGCTTTGAGGGGTTGGGCTTCTGTCACCAGTGTTTGAGGGGCACATGCCCCAGCTCTTGCCCTGTACTTTCCTCTTGTGTTTCTTCTCATCTACCTGTTCCTCTTTTCTCCCCTTTCCAGTATGAGTAATACAGTATCCTTTTTGTCAGTTTGCTAGCTTGTGGGTAATGTTTTGTTTTGAAATTATTTTAAATAAAAGAGCAATATAACAAATATCCATTTATCTATCATCCAGTTATATATTAGGTTTAAAAATTATGGGAAAGTTGTTTATAATCATACTTTTATATTCTTGAAATTTTCTACAGTGTGCTTTACTTTTTTAGCTACAATATGAAATGCAGTAATAGGTTTAAGAGTCAAATGATGAACTTCATAGTGTTTTGAGATTTTTTATTTAGATGTGTGACTGCATCGCCTTTTTCTATAAACCTCCTGAGATTCGGGGATTTTGAACCCCCTTGAGTACAGTATTTCCCCTCTGACTTATATGTGATTTCTCAAACACTTTTAGGAATTTAAAAATTAATCTGTCATTTTTACATTCTCAGACAAGCAATTTTAACCATGCTTTCTTTCATATTTAATTTAGATCAGTGTATTAAGTTGGTTTTAATATAAGATTAAGAATTCATAATGTTTAAAAGGTAAAATTTAGCTTGTCCCCAAATACCAATTTATTGTTTCTCTTTAATTTACATTGCACAAGGAAAATGGTTTTGTTGACAAAAATATTCAAATGAAATATGTTTAGAAGTGAACATATATTTTAAATAGTTTAAAATTTAACTACATGTTAACCCATTGAAGAATTTTTTTAAACTAAGATATTGTGTGCCATATTTATTTTTAAGTCTGTGTACATGTTACTTTACCTCCTCTAAAAAATTAAAATTTTTAAAGTGATTTACTCAGTGATTAGATTTAAAGCTTTGACTTCTTCCTTCCTGTGCTAAAAGGTAAGTGGTTTTCTTGAATAATCCTGACTGTCTCATCACTAAATAATATTAAAAGATGACTTTTTCTGTGTGAAGTATAAACATCTAATATATTGTCATTGTTTATGTGTTTTAAGTACCAGAAATATACTAAAATGGTTTGTGAGTCTTTTGATAGGAAAAATGCAAATTTACAGACAAGTTTGGAGAATTCTGTTTGTTTTTATGCTTCTCGGTTTCTATTTCAGTATGAGTGGGTTTGAGTCAGAATATGGTTCTTTATATGCACCTGTGACCCTCACTGGGAGTATAGTATCTCTGAGCAGTAAATCCACAAAACAGGGGCCACCTCTGTCTGGGAAGCTCTTGGACTTTTCTGTTTTGAGGGGAAAATTAACTATTCACATGATGACCTTGGAACAGGGGCTGTTTCCTCTAACACATAACCAGGAGCCTTTTAGGAACTACTGCTTACTCCCCAGCTGAGGGTCAGGTCTGTGACTATTTAGGTCTGCCTGCCAAGGACTTGGATATGTATGCAAGTGGAGTGAGGGGCTCAGGCACACACACACTTGCACTGCGGCTGATGTGCTCTGGCATGTCTGTATTCAGGTTCATGCACCTTACAGGGTGGAGGGTGTCGCCAGTAACCTATGAGTGTGCTCAGCATACTGTCTGGCATGTCACAGGCCCTCAGGAAAACCCAAGCAAAGCAGGCAGGAAGCTGGCCTCATGCACATGGGCTCTTGTAGGCACATTCTGACCTAACTTTTGTTTCCTTAGGGAACTGTACCTGGGGAATGAATTGTAGGTTTATACACCCTGGAGTCAACGACAAGGGCAACTACTCCCTAATCACCAAAGCCGAACCTTTCCCGCCTAATGGTGCCCCACCTCTCGGACCTCACCCACTGATGCCTGCCAACCCTTGGGTGCGTGAACACTTTTTCTTTCTTTTCTTTTTTCTTTTTTTTATTTTCAATCCTCACCTAAGGATTTTTTTCCATTGAATCCTAGAGAGAGTAGAAGGGAAGGAGTAGGAGGGAGGGAGGTAGAGAAACATCTATTGGTTGTCTCCTGCACACACTCCTCCTGGGGCTGGGAAACCTGCAACTGAAGCACATGCCCTTGACCAGTATTTGAACCGTGATCCTTTGGTCCACAGGTCGAAGCTGTCACTCTGAGTAAAATTGGTAGGGCAACGCCTGATTTTTTAAATTGCTATCAAATCTGATATCTAAGCTGTTTGTGACTCTCCAGCTTAAGGCACATTACTACACTTTGGGTAAAAAGGCATCTTTGTGATGTCTGTCACAGAGCTGCCTTCCAGATGCTTCCAGGTGTTTTTGCTCTCATTTCTTTATAGATTTTAAAGTTTTGCTTGCTTTCTCAACTTTTTCCTTCTCATTTTTTAATAGGGTGGGCCAGTAGTTGATGAAATTTTGCCTCCACCCCCTCCAGAACCTCCCACAGAGAGTGCCTGGGAACGAGGACTTCGTCATGCAAAGGAGGTAACAGAATTTGGCAGAAAACCCGAGAAGAAAAATACTAGTGGTGGTCTATGGACAAAATTAGTATTTTCTTGACCTGGAGACAGTGATCTAAAACTCAATAGAGCCTCTGAAGTGAGGGGTATATTTCTGAGGCTTCTTTGAAGAGCAAGAGAATAGAAAATTATTTCTAACTCTGTCTAAGGCATGCTAGGTCGTGACCAAGCCCAGAAGGCCAAGGAGACTCAGCCTATGTGGCTTGGCAGCATTGAACAACCACAACTGGTACTACAGCCCCAATTGCTCAGAGCCATTCCCCAGAATCAGTACTTACTGCTACCCCCAAATGGCCAGGCTTCTGGAGAAACTGTCTTCTCTCTCAAGCCAGGATGTGAACTTGGGCCTCCCCTCTTCCCACTACTTTTTTACTCCAGGTCATGCTTTGGCCCTGAATGTCCAGGCTGCTTTCGGAGTTGGTTTCTCTTCAGTGAAATAACAGACTAAAACAAAACCATTCTCCCTCCCATAGCGCATACTTCACCGCCCTCCTTTTCTCTGAGACTTTAATGGCTCCTTGTGCCTTTTATGCCATAAGCAGATTTACCTTCCTCTCCACGCTCAGTCCTCATCATTAATGAATATCTGGGGCTCCCTGGTTCAGTGCCAGGACTATTATTAAGAAGCGACCAACTACATCCCCCTCCTCAAGATAGGAGTAAGGTCTATGGTACTCGACCAACTACATCCCCCTCAAGATAGGAGTAAGGTCTATGGTACTGCTCAGATGCAGCTCTGTGCAGGGACATGGCACTCTAGTCCCACAGAAAGGTACATAGGATCCTTTCTTTGTCTGCCTGGGGTTAGAGCTGAGGCACAACTTGCCCACTGAGCACTCAGCCATGCTGCCTAAGCCTCCATGTGTCAAATCAAGATAGGCTTCCTTTTGTTTTCCCTAACAGTAATGGTGTTGGCTTTTTCTCACAACGGTAGGTTTTAAAAAAAGCAACCATTCGAAAAGAACAGGAGCCTGATTTTGAAGAGAAAAGGTTTACTGTGACCATTGGTGAAGATGAACGGGAGTTTGACAAAGAAAATGAAGTTTTCCGAGATTGGAATTATCGGATTACAAGAGATGTCAGAGACACAGTGTAAGGAATGGTTTTCCTCTTCATTCCCTTTTGAAAGAGAATTAAGTTGTGTAGGACTTGTGTCCTGGAGAGCAGTGACATGTAGGTTCCCCAAGGCGTATGGGGGCAGGTACCTGTCCACTGTTTATGGACTGAGAATGCTATCCCTGAGATAATTTCAGATGTTTTGGCAATTGACTTTCCTTAGTCCTTTGCTTCCATGAAGGAAATGTTTTCTCTCAAGGCCATGTGACTGGGAGAGCTCATGCCCATTTGGGCTCCTAAAAGCTCTGAGAGTTATTAACAGCCGTTCTTTTTTTTTTTTTTTTTTTTTAATATATATTTTATTGATTTTGTACAGAGAGGAAGGGAGAGAGATAGAGAGTTAGAAACGTCGAGAGAGAGTCATCGATCAGCTGCCTCTTGCACACCCCACTGGGGATATGCCCGCAACGAAGGTACATGCCCTTGACTGGAATCGAACCCGGGACCCTTCAGTTCCCAAGCCGACGCTCTATCCATTGAGCCAAACCGGTCTCGGCTTAACAGCCGTTCTTGAAGTCCCATAAGTCTTTCCTCACCTCTCCCCAAGTAACCCAGGCAGGAACCAGGAAAACTTATGAAATTTGTCATTAAAATCCAGGAGCATGGAAGGTGTGACTTTTTTTCGTTGTAAATACTGATTTTGTTGTTTCTTCTACCAGAAATTTTATTTTTGGCCTTTTAAAAAATAATTACAAAGGAAGTAGATGTGGTTGAAAATTGTAGTCATATCTTTAGAAACTAGAGGCCCAGTGCATGAAATTCATGCACTGTGGGTAGGAGTCCTCTCCAATCTGGGACCCTTGGGGGATATCCAACTGCCCTCTCATAGTCGGACATCCCTCTCACAATTCAGGACTGCTGTCTCCCAGCCACTTATCTACCTGCCAGCCTGATCATCCCCTAACCACTCCCCTGCCAACCTGATCAAAGCCTAACTGCTCCCCTGCCAACCCGATCACCCCAACTGCCCTCCCCTGCTGGCCCGGTAATCCCCAACTGCCCTCTTCTGCTGCCCCGGTCACCCCTAACTGTCCTACCCTGCAAGGCCAGTCACCCCTAACTGCTCTCCCATGCCAGCCTGGTGGCCCTCAACTGCCTTCCCCTGTCGGCTTGGTCGCCCCTAACTGCCCTCCCCTGCTGGCCTGATCACCCACAACTACCCTCTCCTGCTAGCCATCTTGTGGGAGCCATCTTGTGGGGGCCATCTTTGACCACATGGGGGTAGCCATCTTGTGCGATGGAGTGAGGGTCAATTTGCATATTACCTCTTTATTATATAGGATTGTGTAACATGATGAGTACAGCACTTTTCCCCAGTACTCTTTTCAGGGGAAAGCCCAGGTTTGTTGCACTCACCTCTAAACAAACAAAAGAAACCATAGGCCAGGTTTCTCCTGAGCAACCAATGATCTGAACTGACTTTAACACCATCTTAGACTTGTAGCAAGCAACTCTTTATTCATTTACGTTTGCTACTGGAAAATCACAGTTGCTGGCTTCTGGAAGAAATGACAGTAAAAGGTGCAGAAAAAAGGTACACAAACAGTGCTGGTGTTGCCAGATTCATCATGTTGACCTGAACTTACTAGGCTATCTCAAGGCCCTCTGTCCCCAGGCTATGCTCCCTTGGGCTTTCTGGGTGCACAGAGGAGAGGGGAGGATGCTCTAGTGTTCACACCTGTTGTGGTAGCTAATAGCTCAGAGGTAGAAGGGGTAGAGGTTTAAAGCAGTGGTCGCCAACTGGTGGTCCATGAGGTCCGAGAGGTTGGTGATCACTGGTTTAAAGAATTCTTTGGAACAGTGGTTGCCAACCGGTGATCCATGAGGTTCAAAAGGTTGGCGACCTCTGGTTTAAAGAGTAGTTAAAAATGTGTTTCCTAATTGTGTTTGGGGAAAGTTGTTAGGTTACAGACAAGAGTGTCTGAGTGAGAATTGCATCACTCAATAGTCAACAGAGCCAAACATCAACAGTACAACAATTGAAATTTCTTTTGACAGCCAAATTTTTAAAACTTAAACTACTTCTAACGCCACTTCTTCAAAATAGACTCTCCCAGGCCGTGGTATTTGTGGAAGAGCCACACTCAAGGGGCCAAAGAGCCGCATGTGGCTCGCAAGCCACAGTTTGCCGACCACTGCCCTAGGTGTTCTGGTGCCCACTGAAGTGTGAGAACCACTGATTTCAATTCAGAGACATCGGGTGTTGGACCTGATACTGAGTTGTAGGGATAGAAAAACTCTGAATAGTTGTCACAAAGAGCCTAGTTAATGTGATTAGATCTGATCGTGTGGAGCTAGGTACTTGGTTGTAGTACCCATAGGAAAGCTGCCCATTCCAAGAATTCCTGAGGAAGTATTCTGAGATGGTATAGAGGATGGGAAAATTATTTTTTTGCTTGTGGTTTTTTGTTTGTTTTTTAACTTGTTTTTGGAATTAGAAAGAATTTACTGTTTAGTTAGTGTGGCTCATTGTTGAGCACTGACCAATTGAACCAGAAGGTCTTGGTTTGATTCCTGGTTAGGGCAATGCCCCAGTGGGTGGTCTGCAGGAGGTAGCTGATCAATGATTCTCACATCATTGATATTTCTCTCCTTCCTTCTCTTTCCTTTCCTCCCGCCATCCCTCTCCCCCTTCTTCTCTGAAATCAATAAAATATATATATATATATTTTTTTTTTTTATAAAAAAGAATTTACTTAGCAGGATCACTTAGTAAATTCTTTTGCTTTTTAATAATGCTTTCCTATTTTTATTACTTTTGTAGAAGAGCAAGCAAGAACTTATTGACTGCAGCAAAAATAATTTAGGACAGTGAAATAAGGAAGGCATAGAAGAAGCAACAGGAGAGCCTAAGCTGGGCTGCTTTGGCTCTCTGGGAAGTCAGAGAAAACAGGGCCTTGAAGACAGGTTCAGTGGGTTAGCCTGGGACGAGCTTCCACTGCCCATTGCTCCCCTGCTTGCATATCTCATTGGGTCCCTTGGAGTTTGTGAGATACATGCCTGTGGGGGAAGGCAAAGAGGAAGGGAATGGCATGAATATGCTCCCAGAAGGAGAGTGCTCCACTTCAAAACTTTTAAAATTCCATTTCTACCACCTCAGGCACTTTATCCAGACACCATTTGACCTGTAAGACCTCATGTGTAGAAATCATTAAGAAATGTCATCTCTGCATGGGGCTGTGGGGCACTGTATTCCACTAAGTCCTGAAGGAATCGATGATTCAGAAGACACAGGGGGTCTCCAAAATACACAGGGTGTCAACTTTGAGGAATAAGGTCATTGGCAGTAGATCTGCCTAGAATAGAGCTTAGTAAACCAGAGCTAGACAGTAAGGCCACATGCTCAGGGCCTAGGAATGCACCCTTGCCAGCATTCATCCTTTGAGATTGTGTCTGAGGAGATAGTCATTGTCAGATTGAGTTCATGACAACATTTTATGGACTTCTGCAGATCAGGCCCTGTGAGCTGGTGGACAGCCCATGTTTGGTTCTAAGGGAGGCAGCCAACGGAATGCTACATGCCCTTGCCCAGTTTGAGGAATACTGTGACTGAGAAATCCTGCAGGAGAGGGGTCATTTGCATTTTGCTTAGTTTCCCCAAAACAAATTTGTCCATACTCCCTCCTTTGAGATTGCACATACCCTCATGCATTTTGGGAAAGTGTTCTGAGGTCTTCATTGGCTATGTATTGTGTTGGTTTTCTAATTTTTAAAAAAATATATTTTATTGATTTTTAACAGAGAGAAAGGGAGAGAGATAGAGAGCTAGAAACGTCGATGAGAGAGAAACATCGACCAGCTGTCTCTTGCACACCCCCTACCGGGGATGCACCCGCAACCCATGTACATGCCCTTGACCGGAATCGAACCTGGGACCTTTCAGTCCGCAGACCGATGCTCTACCACTGAGCCAAACCGGCTTAGGCTGGTTTTGTCAATTTACTAGTAAGGACACAAGAAAAGTCTGTGCCTCAGAGACTGTATTCTCTCCTTTCTGGGTAGCAAATGTGGTGCTGCAGTTATTGATAGTTGTCATTAAATATCATTTGATTGGCCCTAGCCAGTTTGGTTCAGTGGATAGAGTATCAGTCAGTGGACTGAAGGGCCCCCGGTTCGATTCCGGTCATGGGCACATGCCCGGATTGTGAGTTAGATCCCCAGTGGGAGGGCAAGCAGGAGGCAGGCAATCAATGATTTTCTCTCTTTCCTTCTCTCTTCCTTTCTAAAATCAATAAAAATATATTTTTAAAAATATGATCTGAGTGGTGTGAGGTTAGGTTGTTAGAAAGATATCTGGCTGTTTGAGATGAAAAAGAACTGTGTCCATTTGGCAGAGCCAGCCTTGGATTAGCTCTGCCAGGTGCACTGGAAACACCAGAGGAGAGATTTTCTAGAAAGCAGCGAGCCGAAGGCCATGAAGCTGACTAGAGATGGCCATGACTTTCGTGTCTTTCAAGAGTTTTTTAAAGTTTTCCTCAAATAGGTTCTGCATACTTCTGGTCAAATGTTTTTTGTTACTAAGTATTTTTTTAAGTATATTTTTATTGATTTCAGAGAGGAAGGGAAAGGGAGAGAGATAGAAACATCAGTAACGAGAGAGAATCATCGATTGGCTGCTTCCTGCACGACTCCTACTGGGGATCCAGCCTGCAATCCTGGTATATGCCCTTGATGGGAATTGAACCCAGGACCCTTCAGGCTGATGTTCTTTCTACTGAGCCAAACTGGCTAAGGCTGTTCCTAAGTATTTTTCTTCTTCCTTGCTGAAATGAAGTTTTCTCTTCCCTCTGTCTCCTAGCTAGTTATTTGTGTATATGAAGGCACTGGTTTCTTTCTCCTTTTATCTTTATTATTAAAAAAGATAATAATTAACAAAGTATTAAGTATGTCTCCTTTTACCCTCATTGACCCTCTTCAGCCCTCCCTGCCCCAGGCCTTTGGTTTCTATTGTTAATTTTTCTCTACCTACCAGCATTGACAGTGCCTTCAGCACATGGTCATTGAGGAAGCCACAGACCTCCTTGCCTTGTCCCAATCTTACAAAATTTCTCTCCTATTCCCCTGAAGTAAGATGCTGGCTTTATTCTAGAATCCTATATAATAAAAGGGTAATATGCAAATAGACTGAATGGCAGAACAACCAAACAAGTAATCATATCATAATATGCTAATGATATGCTAAGGTTGCTCAACCGCTTGCTATGATGTGCACTGACCACCAGGGGGCAGATGCTCCAACTGCTTGCTAGCTGATTGGAACATCGAGATGGGCCTGACATGCCCTGGAGCCTTCCTGAGTCCCTCCCCAGCCCGATCGGGTAGGGTCCCTCAGTCTGGCCTGTGCCCTCTTGCATTCTGGGACCCCTTGGGGGATGTCAGAGAGCCAGTTTCATCCTGATCCCGCAGGCCACTCACTCCCCTTGGGAGGCCGCTAGACATAAGGCTCATGGCTGGCAAGCGCTACTGCGGCAACACGAGCCTCTCCAGATCAGAACTGATTGTGCACGAGCCCACAGCAAGCATAGAGGGACCAGGATGAGTGGAAGTGGCAGGTAGGAGCTGCAGGTGGCGTTGGACTGTGGGTTTCAGCCAGATCCCTTCAGGCCACCCACAGGGACCCCACCTGTGGACGAATTGGTGCACCGGGCCTCTAGTATATACATATGTTTTATCACATTAAGAAAGCATTATTTCCTATTTTCTTGAGTATTTTCATCAGGAAGAGGTATTGAATTTCCATCATACATTTTCTTTATCTGTAGATGGAATCCTTTTGATTTTCTCTTTAGGTCTATTATCATATGAGGTTTACTCATAAATTTCCTAATATCAACTCAACCTTGCATTCCTGGAATAAATCCCACGTAGTCATGCTATATTATTTTCTTTTTTTTTTTTTTTTTTAAATATATTTTATTGATTTTTTTTACAGAGAGGAAGAGAGAGGGATAGGAAACTAGAAACATCAACCAGCTGCCTCCTGCACACCCCCTACCGGGGATGTGCCCGCAACCAATGTACATGCCCTTGACCGGAATCAAACCTGGGACCTTTCAGTCCGCAGACCGACGCTCTATCCACTGAGCTAAACCGGTTTCAGCCTATATTATTTTCTCAGTGTGGTATTGGATTCTTTTTGCTAACATTTTTATATAGTATGTTTACAATACTGTTTTTATGTGAAAAGATTTACTTTATTTTTTGTTTCTGTTTTCAGACTTGAACCTTATGCAGATCCTTATTATGACTATGAAATAGACCGGTTCTGGCGTGGCGGGCAGTATGAGAATTTCAGGGTGCAATATACAGAAACAGAACCGTACCAGAATTACCGGGTGAGTAAGACTTAGATCCGCAGCTCTGAATTTCACTGATTGATTTTTTTTAAATCGCCTGCTTTTTTTATTTCTAGGACTTCATGTGTGCTTAATTATGTCAGCACAGTGTACTAATTTCAGCCCATTGACTGAAGAACTAATGTAGATCCACATATTAAATTTGTAGTGATTTGAACAGAGACTTCCTTGGGTTTATCTGTGTTCTTTCCCTTTTTTAAAATTATAGTTGGTGATCTTGGTGATTGGGGTATTGATACAAGCTTGCAGGGGAGTGTGTTTCACCCTCTTAAGCATATTACTTTTTCAGGCTCCTTAGTAATATCATTTATAATTATCATGCTTAACCAATTCAGTACATTCCTTTGGGCCTCTACCAACCATGTTTTTGTCTTAATGGAGAACTGGCCTATAATAGTACTTCTCTTGAGAGTTTAGTGTATATTTGTGAATATATGTGCTTCAGCCTTTCAGCTGAATTAAGGTGATATGAAAAAGCTGCTACTAGAAAGAGATTAGTTAGAAGCAGTTTAGTAGTTTTATGCTATGATTTATGTGATAATCATGTGTTTTTAGGACCAAAGGAAGGTGACTTCCCTGGGAACCCATCAAATGGCGAGCTTATGGAGAGTCAAGGACCCTGGTTGACCATTGGTGCCCCTGTACCCCGTAGAGCAGATTCCTCCCTGGGGTTGGGCTATAAGGGTGCAGTGCCTCATGCCAGGCAGGGCTGCCTTGAAATGTAGCAGGGACCTGCTGGGGTCCCTTTCCAATACATTCCCCCACTGTGCCCTACAGGTGGGGAAGGTCAGGAGTGCACTTTACATCTTCCCAGCCACCTAAAGCTCAAAACCTGCCAGTGTGCTGTGATCTTGGCATTCACTTTTAATTTTGAATATTAAATATATGAATGAGAACAGAGTAATAGTTCAAAAAGATGTTCAAGGATTATGCTTAGAAAAACAAGAGCCACCATTTTGAGGTGCCTACTTTGTTTCAGATTTCACTAAGCAGAATGCTTTAGGTGCCCAGGCCTGAGCCTGTGCAGAATCTTGGTCGTCTCCACCCTACATGTGAAGAGCTGAGGCCAGGAAGGCCCGCTGTCTGTGTGCTGGCAGCTAGAACTCACACCAGCCCTTGGATGCTGATTAGGTTGTAATTAGGGGTTGGAAGAGTTCACTCTTAGGTTGTGTTGCACCCTAATTTAGCATCTAATCCATTCTTTAACAACGTGTTTAAGGAGAAACTGTAACAAAATTACCACCAGAGATTATTCCCCAATCTTCATTCTCGTGCTCTTCTGCATTTTCTCTGTACTTTCCATTTTAAGTGTTTCAATCACAGCTGGTGTATGTTTGTGTGTTTGGCTTTTCAACAAAGGAACGGGAAAGGGAAAGAGAGCGAGAGAACAGACAGCGAGAGCGCGAGCGGGAGCGAGACCGAGAACGAGAACGAGAGCGCCGGCAGCGGGAGCGGGAGCGGGAGCGGGAGCGAGAGCGCGACAAGGAGCGGCAGCGGAGGAAAGAAGAGTGGGAGCGAGAGCGAGCCAAGCGGGATGAGAAGGACAGACAGCACAGAGACCGAGACAGAGAGAAAGAGCGGGAGAAGGAAAAGGAGAAGCCAAAGCCCCGCTCCCCACAGCCACCAAGGTAGGCCACCCAGCACTGGGGCCCTCGAATAGGTGCCTGCAGCTCCACTGTCTTGGCCCTGCCTGCTTCCCACACTCCTTTCCCTACAGTCCCAAAGTAAGTTGCTGAAGAAATGTTAATGTGTTTTGATTAGTAGTTGCTGCCCCATCATGTGTGTTGTGAAGCATGCACTGTGTGCACCACACTATTATTTCCTAAGTCAGTAAAATCCTAGATTCCCAGTTCATCTGGGCTTAGGAGAAGAATTTAGGAATTGCAGGATGTGCATGTTTGTTGGTGGCCACAGTGTGGTGCTCTAGCATCTAGAACACAGGGCCAGGTAGACTGCTGGCCTCTCCGCTTAACTTGTTCTATGAGGGGCAGGTTCCATGCTGTCCCATGAGAGCTGCCAGTTGGGTTACTGTGGGCAGTGAGGACATGCTCCACAGTAAAGGCCCAGAGGGCGAGGCAGGCTCGAGCTTCGCACAGCTTTTTTTTTTTTTTTTTTTTTTTTTTTCTTTTTAAACGTATTTAAATACTGGAGCAGGAAAGGTGGTCCTCTTTAGAAAATCATAGAATTTGATGAAATTTAGTGTGTGCTTTTTACAGCTTTATTGAGATATAATTCACTGATGATATAATTACCCCCATTTAAAATGTACAAATTGAGCATTCATGGACTTGTGGTGCCATCACCACAATTTTAAAACACCTTTGTTGCCCCAAAAGAAACTTTGTACCTATTAGTAGTAACTCCACATTTCCCCCAAAACACCCATCTGGCTCCTGGCAACCACTAATCCACTTTCTGTCTCTCGATTTGTTCATTCTGGACATTTCATATAAATGGAATTCTCCTTTATAATAAAGGGTAATATGCAAATTGACCCTAAAGGTGGAACAACTGGGTCGTTATAATGCTCAATGACCACCATGGGGCAGACACTGAATGCAGGAGCTGCCCCGTGGTGGTCAGTGCGCTTCCACAGGGGTAGTGCAGCTCAGCCAGAAGCCGGTTCATGGTTGGCCAGTGCAGTGGCAGTGGTGGTGGTAGCCTCTCCCCACAGCAGCGTTATAAGGATGTCCCCAGAGGGCTCCCAGGCTGCCAGAGAGATGTGACTGCCAGCTTAGACCCAATCCCCTGGGGAGCAGGCCTAAGCTGGCAGGTGGACATCCCCCGAGGGGTCCTGAACTGTGAGAAGGCACAGGCTGGGCTGAAGAACACACACACACACACTCCCAACCCCCTCCATCCCCGAGTGCACGAATTTTCATGTATCAGGCCTCTGGTGATAATAAATGGTCTTTTGTTTAGCTATCTGTTGAACATTTGGGTTGTTTCTCCCCTTTAGCTATCATGAATATGAGCATTCATGTACATCTTTATGTGTGAACATGTTTTTCATTTCTCTTAGGTGAAAACCTAAGAGTGGAATTGCTAGGTCATGTGGTAAATAACTATCTTTAACCTTTTGAGGTGCTTTGACTTTTCCAAAGTAGCTGTAACATTTTACATTCCCACCAGAAATGTCTGAGGGTTCCAATTTCTTCCTCTTCCTGTTAACACTTGTTATGTATTTTTTTTATTATAGGCATCCTAATGGATATGAAATGCTATCTCATCATATTTTAATTTTCTTTTTCTCTGATAACTATGTTGAGCATTTTTTCATGTGCTTATTGGATATATATATTATATATATATATATTATATATATATATATAATATATATATATATATAATATATATATATATATCTCCTTTGGGAAAATATCTATTCAGATCCTTTGCCCATTTTTAAATTTGATAGTCTTTATTATTGAATTGTAAAAGTTATTTATAAATTCTAAATATAAGTATCTAATTTGCAAATCCATACTCTAATTCTGTGGTTTGTTGTTTCACCCTCATGGTGAAGTTTATTTTCTTATTTTTTTTAAGGGGAGGCCTCTTATTTTTTCCAGCTTTATTTAGATACAGTTGACATATAATATAACATTGTGTAATTTAAGGTGTATAGTATGATGATTTGACACATTAATGTTGTGAATGATCACCACACTAAGGTTAGTTAACACCAACATCACATCACGTAATTACCTTTTTTGTGTGTGTGGTGATAAGATTTAAGGTCTACTCTCTTAGCAGCTTATATACACAATATAGTATTGTTAATTCTAGTCACCATGCTATATGTTAGATCCTGAAAATTTGTATCATTTGACCAACATTGCCCCCACCCCCTCATACATGACAACCACCATTCTTTCTGTTTCTATGAGTTTTTAGATTCCAATATGAGACTCTACAGTGAAAATAGTCTTTATCTGGCTTATTTTACTTAGCATAATGCCCACAAGGTCCATCCATGTAGTCCCAAATGGCAAGATGTTCTTTTTCATGGTTGAATAATATTCTATTGAATATATTTACCACTTTTTAAAAATCCATTCATCTGTTTGTGGACACTGGTTATTTCCATGTCTTGGCTATTTTGAATAATACTGTAGTGAATATAGGAGTGCATATACCTCTAGAGTGATTTTATTTCCTTTGGATATATACCCAGAAATGGAATTGGATTGCTGGATCATATGGTAGTTTTATTTTTTTATTTCTTGAGGACTACATATTGTTTTTCATAGTGGCTGCACCAATTTACATTCCCAACAGCAGTGCAAGGTTCCCCATTCTCTATATTCTCATCAACCCTTATTTCTTGGATTTGTTTGAGCTTTTTGTTTATTGGATTGTTTGTTTGCCTGCTTTGGATAATAACCATTGGTGTACGGAGATAACTCACTGTGGGTTTGACTTGCATTTCTATGATAATTAGTGATGTAGAACATTTTTTCTCCCCATATACTTGTTGATTGTGTGTCTTTGAGAAATTGTCTAGTCAGAAGCTTTGCTCATTTTTTAATCTGACTATTTTGGCATATTGCTACTGAGTTGTATGAGTTTCTTATATTTTTTTATATTAACCTTTTTTTAAATATATCTTATTGATTTTTTACAGAGAGGAAGGGAGAGGGATAGAGAATTAAAAACATCGATCAGCTGCCTCCTGCAACCAAGGTACATGCCCTTGACCGGAATCGAACCTGGGACCTTCCGGTCTGCAGACGGATGCTCTATTCATTGAGCCAAACCGGTTTCGGCAATTTGTTATATTTTTTAATGCTTTCCTAACATTGGGCAAAGTAATGTGCTTACAGAACTTTCAGGGTAAATCACATATTTTGATACACTGAGAGAGTTCATTCTTTAAAAGGCTGCTTCGATGAATCTTTCTATTACAATAATCACTTTTTTAAATTTAAATTCTTTATTGTTTAAAGTATTACCTATGTCTCCTTTTACCCTCATTGACCTCTCCCCAGCTACTCCCAACCTCCAGCACATGCGCTCACCCCCCTACTGTCTGTGTCCATTGGTTATGCTCATATGCATGCATACAAGTCCTTTAGTTGATCTCTTATCCTTCTCTCCCACCCTTCCCTGTCTTCCTTCTGAGATTTGACGGTCTGTTCAGTGCTTCTTTGTCTCTGGGTCTATTTTTCCTTATCAGTTTATGTTGTTCATTATATTCCACAAATGAGTGAAATCATGTGATATTTATCTAGTAATCACTCTTTATCTTGGAACTTTATTTATTTGAACAGAAAAGCTTGATTTTTATATTTCTATTTTTGGTTCTTTTGAACTAGTAGGTTGGAACTCAGGAAGCTTGATTAAGTGAGTTCTTCCTAAAATCAGATACAGCTTTTTTCACTAAACTAGGTAAGTCTGTTCTCTAGCCTCTCCCCACCTCTATCCCCCGTTTCTGACCTGGTTTTTCCCTTTTCCTCCCCAAACTCTCACTTATGCTTTTTTCAATGGTCTTCCACCCCAGCACCACCTGCCATCAACAGAGGTGGGGGTGCTCTGGTCACTTGGTCGGTATTCAGCCTGTCTTGAATTCCGATCTTTGATCCTCTACTACCAGCCTTGAGGGCTGGAGTTTCACCAGAGCAGAATTTCCCAGCTTGACCTCCTTAGTTCCTTTGCCTTGATCAGCCAGAGGTCTTCTGTCTTCTGTCTTCTGTATTTAGTGATTGCATAACTCTTCACCCAGGGTTTACTTTTGTAAGTATGTCTTTTAAGAGCTTTTGCCTTCCTATAGTGGTGTTACTTTTAGATAGGGCAGAAACTTTTAACAATAACATTTATGCAATTCTATAGAATGCATATATGTAGCTAGGGGGAAATTCTTTTGTGAAACCTCTGTCCACTCTTTCTAGTCAAGCCAGTGGCTGTGCTTTCCTTGTATAGCCGAGGCAGGAAACTAGGATGTTCTTTGGCATAAGAAGTTAATTTCATTCTAGATGTAAGTAGTAACTGTGACCTTCCCAGAGGAATTTCTCAAACTGCCTGTCATCTGTAAAGCTAGTTACCAAATATTCAGATGTGCATTTGAGATTTGGTGCCCCTTGGGTTGAAATGGCAGGCTCATCATTTCCTAGAAGATTTGCTTAATCCTCATAAGGGAGCACCTGTCCCTGTCCCTTTTTTCACACTCACTGAAGCCTGGTTGTTTCCCAGATGGGCTTCTGGAGTCTGGGGCTGCCAGCATCCTGTTCATGACCTGTCAGTACAGGTATGTGGTAGGCTGTCCGTTCACCCTCATAGTTGTCCATACCTTGCAGCTCTCCAGTTTGCGGCACACCAGGCATCTCAGGGTGGGTTGGGGAGCATGTATATCCTCCTTCAAAGGAATTTGTAACTCCCCCACAAAGGCTCAGAACCACTGTCAAGGGTCACCCTCTGGGGCAGGAAACACGTAGCTGAAGTTAGGGAGGGTAATGGCAGTTAAACGTAATTGCTATCCTGTGTGTTTCTTTGTAGTTCAGGCTTGCCCTTATGGCTGTGGCTGAATCTGTGTAGCCTTCTGTCTCCCTAGAGAGACGGTGATGTCACTCGGGTCCTGACTAGTCCATGAGACTCTGCTGGTCTTTTTTTGAGAGAAAAATATATGTTG